CGAGACAGGGTTTCTCTCTGGTTTTGGAGCCTGTCCTGGAACTAGCTCTTGTAGACCAGGCTGGTCTCGAACTCACAGAGATCCGCCTGTCTCTGCCTCCCGAGTGCTGGGATTAAAGATGTTACCACATCCAGTTAGGTCCCCTCTTAAAATAAGGAATGTCAAAATCTTTGTAGACTATTTATTTATTTATTTATTTTTAAGGTTTATTATGTACACAGTGTTGAGCTTCCATGTATGCCTACAGGCCAGAAGAGGGCACCAGATCTCATTACAGATGGTTGTGAGCCACCATGTGGTTGCTGGGAATTGAACTCAGGACTTCTGGAAGAGCAGCCAGTGCTCTTAACCTCTGAGCTTTCTCTCCAGCCCCTTTGTAGACTATTTAAAACTCACACATCCTCAATACATTTTGTTTCATAAGTCAGTTTTGTTATAGAATGGATTTTTAGTTTTCTGTTTTTGTATGTGTATGCATACATGTACCAGATGTCAACCTCCAGTGATGTCCTCAGCAGTTGTTGACCTTGTGGTTTGTTTTGGTTTTGTTTTTGATACAGTCTTCATTAGTCTGTAGGTCTCTTGAGTAATCAAGGCTGGCTGGTCAGCAAGCCCACTAATCTCTTACCTTCCTCAGCACTGGGCTTGCAAGTGTGATCCTGACTTTTCATATGGTTTTGAGGAATTGAACTCAGGTCCTCAGGCTTGCCTGGCAAGCACTTTACCAAATGAGCTATCTCTCAAGCCATTAATTTTCTTTTTTGTTGTTGTTGTGATTTGGTTGGTTGGTTTGGTTTGGTTTTTCAAAACAGGATTTGTGTAAAGCCCTAGCTGTCCTGGAACTTGGTTTATAGACTAGAATGGCCTCGACCTATCTCTGCCTCTCAAGTGCTGGGATTAAAGGTGTGCACCACCATCGTTCAGCTTTTTTAAAGTTTCCATGTGATTCTGGTCTTCTGGCTTATGAAGCAGGGATCTTTATCTGCTCAGTCATCTTACCATTCTCCTGAAAAATGAAGTTTTTCTCTGGAACTTTTCTTTTCAGGCAATGATGAAGTAAAACGTGGTGTCTTACTGATGTTGTTTGGTGGTGTTCCTAAGACAACAGGGGAAGGGACCTCTCTTCGTGGGGACATAAATGTTTGTATTGTTGGTGATCCAAGTACAGCTAAAAGCCAATTCCTCAAGTAAGTGCCTACCTGAAGTAGTATATTGGGAAAAGCAATGAGTGTGTGTGCTTGTAGGCCAGCTATGCTACTAAAACTGATGTCAGTGTCCATTCCTGTTTTTGTTTTTGAGACAAGGTCTGTATATGGCATATATCACTGTGCCCAGTCTAGAACATTTGTAGTCATTTTATGGTTGAGTATTTTAAGTGTATCACAGGTTGAATTTTATTTTGTCTTTGATATGCTGCGATTTAGTCCAGGGCCTTGTATATACTACCCTTTAAGCAAAATCCTCATCCCTAAGCTGAATTTTAGATTTGAAAAGTGATAGTTATGTTTAAAGAATTCTATTTTTCTATTCAATGTTGCCTATTATGACAGCATTGTATTTTACATGTATGGTTTTCTTAGACCTTTCTTTGCTACATTTATTTGTATGTGAGGTGCACACAGCTCGGAAGACAACATGCAGGACTAACTTCTCTCCTACCTAAAGTGGGAGAATTTCAATCCTTCCTGGGGATTGAACTCAGGTCATTAGGTTGGTCAGTAAGCACTTTTACCTATTTAGTCATCTTGCTGGCCCTTAGATCTTTTATATAGTGTTTTCTAGCGTCTTTATTGAAATGTAATTTATGCATCATGAAATTCATTTCTTTGAATTTTGCAAATTGGTGCTTTAGTATATCAATAGTTTATAAAGTTCAACTAAGCTTAAAATGTTACTGTTACTTAGAGGGAAACCTTGTGCTTGTTAGTAGTTACTTCTTTCCCCTATAGAAAGTATAGTGTACTGCATTGTCCCAGTCTGTGTGTTTTTTTTTTTTTTTTTTTAAATTGGCTCATAGAGATAAACTTGCACTTAGCATGAAGTCATGTTGGAATTTGCATCAGTATTTTGTTTCCTTCTCTGGCTAAATAATACATGGCTACCACATGGTGTTAGCCAGCTTCCATCATTGTGACTGATACTTAAGGTAAGCAACCTAAAGGAGAAAGGATTTACTTTTATCTCAGTGTTTTAGTCCACAATCACTTGGTCCTATTGTTCTTGGGGTGGTCAGGAAACAAAGTCAGAGTGAGGGAGAAGGAGCAGAGCTGCTCACCTCAGCACCCAGAAAGTGGATGAAGATAGGAAAACAGGAATGGCCATGGATAGGGACCTTTCCAGATACTCCAGCAGTGACTCATTTCTCATAAATGCACCGTTTCCCCCATCTGTTTTTCACTACTTCCCAATAGTGCCGGTATACTATGAGTGCATTGAGGAATTCATTATTATTTGATCAGATCAGGTTATAATAAAATCACTGGGAACCACCAGCTATATTGAAGGGGTACTGTCCGTTTATTAATCAATGTACATTGGGCTTATGTCTGTCTTCACTTTTATGCTTAGTACTTGAATAGTGGTTTACAAATTTTTTTCCCTATCCCTTTTTATTGTTTGCGGGAATAGTTGGTGGTGTTTGAGATAGGGTCTCACTGTATAACCTAGGCAGGCCTCAAACTCACAGCCTGCCACAGCCTCCTAAGTGATAGGATTAAAGGCATGTGCCCATCAAACCTGGCTTTTTTTTTTTCTGGTTTGCAATATTATTTATTTATATGTGTCTTGGTATTTGGTCTGTCTATAGTCTTTGGACATGTGCATGCACTGCCCACGGAGGCCAGAAGAGGGCTTCATATCCCCTAGAATTGGAGTTTCAGACAGTTGTGGGCCAGGGTGTTGTTTCTGGGAATCAAGCCCTGTTCCTCTGCAAGAGTACCCAGTGTTCTTAGCCAATGAGCCACCTCTCTGAGCCTCCCCCCGCTTTAGCATATTTTTTAATATTCTTTTGGCTACCATAGTTTCTGTGTTCAAAGACAAGAGGCTGCAGGATTCAGGTCCTTCCTCTCAAGGCAGAAATGTGAGCAATCATCTAAACAATTTAAATTGAGCTAGGACTGCTTTTCTTCCCTTGGGGATTTCTGTCAAGATGATCACTTTACATAATTTCCCATAGTCTGTTTAATATATTTCTTGTCCTTCATGGAACATATGAATGAGCAGGAGGTGGATAGCTTGTACTTGTACATAAAAATTTGTTTTGTATTAGCCATTTTTAGGTCTAGTTCAGTGACTCTAAGTACATTCAGATTTTGTAATCACTACCGCTGTCTTCTGAACAGAACCACTATACCTGTTAAACCCTGGTTCTCTAGTCCCCTCTCATGTAAGCACCATTTTACTCTGTGTAACCCCGCTGTGGTGTGATACATGGAAGACTCATCCTGCTGTGGTGATCAGACTGCATGTGTCTCTATTTTATGCTTGTGCTGCATTTTGTTTTATATAAAATGCATTGGTGGGCCTTTTGGTTGTTTTCATTCTCCCCTGTTGCAATAGTAATACTTCTCTGAGCATTGTTATACTGAGTATCAAATACTCTGCTTTTCTGTTTTGTTTTGAGACAGGTCTTACTGTATAGCCCAGTACGGCCTCAAACTCAGTTTAAAAAGCCAAAGGACATAGAGCTCCTGCCAGCTGAATTTTCTGGAACATGTAATGTGATGATGTGTTAATGAATCTTTGTGCTGCTCTTAAACAGGCATGTGGATGAGTTCAGCCCCAGAGCCGTCTATACCAGTGGCAAAGCTTCCAGTGCAGCGGGCTTAACAGCAGCTGTGGTGAGGGATGAAGAATCTCATGAATTTGTCATTGAGGCTGGAGCATTGATGCTGGCTGATAATGTAAGGACATTGTACACTACTAACCAGTCAGAATACCCTTTGACTTGCCAATAAAGATCTATTGAATTTATTAGTATGTTACTTAGTTTTATTAATCTTCATTGAATTGAAGCTGTCAATATTAAGTTTATTTTTTGGGTTTTTATTATTTTTTGTTTTTTTTTT